TGTGGCTGGGATAAGGAGCATGGGATTAGGGGGAATGCTGGAGGGATGTGGTGTCTGGAAGGAGGAATGGCTGGGGGGGGGTGTTGCTCTTCGTCCCCCCCCCTCCAGCATTGGTGCCGGGAGGGTTTGGGGGGTCCCAGCAGGAGCAGAGCTGGGTGTGTTGCCCCCTTGGAGTGGTGAATAAACCAAGGGAAAAATCTCTTCTTAAGCTCTGTGCCATTTTTTTGTCCTGATTTTTAAGGATTTATGGGATAATTTGGGGGGTCCCAGAGCAGGCAGCAGGAGCAGAGTTAAACCAAGAGGGAAATCTCTTCTTTCCTTAAGCTCTGTGGCATCTTCATCCTGATTTTTAAGGATTTATGGGATGGTTTTGGAGGGTCCCAGAGCAGGCAGCAGGGGCAGAGTTGGGTGTGTTGTCCTCTTAGAATGGGGAATAAACCAAGGCGAAATAAACCGGGGAAACAAGAGAAAAATCTTGAATTCCCCCCTTGATTTCCAAGGAAATAAAACCGAGAAACAAAACAAGGAAATAAAACAAGGGGAAATCTCATCTTTCCTTAAGCTCTGTGCAGTTTTTTGTCCTGATTTTTAAGGATTTATGGGATGATTTGGGGGGTCCCAGAGAAGGCAGCAGGAACAGAGTTGGGTGTTTTGTTCCCTTGAAATGGGAAATAAACCAAGAGGAAATAAACCAAGGAAAAAATATCTACTTTCCTTCAGCTCTGTGCCATTTTCTGTCCTGATTTTTAAGGATTTATGGGATGATTTGGGGGGGGTCCCAGAGCAGGCAGCAGGAACAGACTTGGCTGTGTTGTGCCCTTGGAGTGGGAAATAAACCAAAGGGAAATAAACCAAGGGAAACAGAGAAAATCTTCCTCTTTCCTGAAGCTCTCTGTCATTTTGTGCTGTTTTCTAAGGATTTGTGCTCTCCCTGTCCATGTATGTCAGGGTGTGCAAAACCAGCAGAAGGCAGGAATTTGGGGCAGGAAGTTTCTGTTGGTTTCTTGATCCCTTTTCCAGGCAGGTGCTCCATGTCTCTCCCGCTGCTGTTTCCATGAGGTGAGGCCTTAAGTCTCCTCCTCTCAGAAGAGGTTGTGTAAGGTGAGGAGTGAAAACATTGGATTGAATTAAGCAGTGATTATTGATGGGATCCATGC